ATTTAGGATTGGCCAGTTTGAATAATTTCAGTGGGAAACTTATACATTTAAGTGTTTTTCCTATGGATATGCCAGTAGACAAGTCTGCAAAAACAGTCTTAGGCCTGGAGCCTTCCTTTCCTCAAATGAAGCCTACACATTCTTGAAGCTTGAACATATCTGCTCTACACTGTGCAATTGGAGTCCACTTCCTCTGCCAGGGGTCTCCATTTGAGTGCCTGTGCCCACCTCCATGCCTCACTAGTCATCTGTCATGTCCTAAGCTTTTCTACAGTGTTGCTTCTTAACCCACATAAGTACGTGACTCCAATTTGTGGGTGAGTGAGGGTCTTGGGTAAGACCTTTGGGTAGAGGGAGAACAGAGGGGCCAGAGTGCCCCCCAAGCTTGGCACCGTAGTTTTCACATGCATCTACAGGTCTTGGCAGCAGGGGTCACTGCACAAAAGGTTATAACCAGGTGGCAGCTTTTCACCAGCTTGTGGGTATGAGCTCCAGGGTAATCAGGGCACTTGGAAACAGTTGTTTTATCCCAAGAGGTCTGTATAACTATGCCAATGTGAACAGCAGAGCTGAATGGATCTGACTTCACTGTGGCTTCTGCCAGCATTGTCACAGCAAGTGGGAGTGTGCTTACTCCCTGAGTCTTGTTGGGACCAAGGACAGACAAATTAGACCCACCCAATTATGTAAGTTATTGATAAACTCTCTAGATGGTTATGCATATTAAGGAAATAATAACATCTCTAGATAAGGCCCAAGAACCAGATCTTTGTTTTAAACCTTGAAAATTCCAGCAACAGCTCCAGTTCTCCTGATTCTCCCCATGACTTCCAGCAGTCCCCTAGTCCTTGTGGGCCCCAGAGTCCCCTCAGGATTGAGACCAGGAGGTACTTATCATGCTTGAGAATCTTCTCCAAATAGTTTTTCCTCCTGAGAGCCTGAAACAAAGAAGAACCTACCATCTTGGGCAGGTCTTCCGTCTTCTTGAACTGAGTTATCCCAGCTAAAAAGGAGGTTGAATCAGTTTCTAAATTTCTCTTTTGTGAGGTAATCTTAAAAACCCTAAAACCAACCAAAATAAACTCTCAAAATAATACAGATCATTTTTTTTCTTCAGTGTATTTAAAAAACATCTAATAAAATAGAAACACAGATATATGTGGGTATTATGTTGTAAACTACCTTTAAGGGGCGGTGACCCAGGCCTGGGAACATGAGGTGAAGGCCCTACTGGTAGATAAGCAGTGATTACCAACCATGGTGGGTCGAGGCCCGT